AGCAAACAAAAAGAATTTAATATCATGAAATCTGAATAAACTTCAAATAACCGACGAAGATGCTAAATATATACGCGGCAAGAAATTTGCCGATGAATCACCGAGGAAAACATTAACAGATCGCACACTTGGATTAAATAGATGATTGTTAGACGTGTGCGATATTAAATGACCTTTTCAACAGAACATGATTTTTTTTTTAAAAATGAATAGGAATCACAACTTCAGGGTCTTATGAGCTGTTATTATTTGACTTAACTCAAGTTTTATAGATGGACACCCAAACAGTTGTCCTATCCTCTATGTGATAAATTTTAATTATTACCATTTATGTGATAATGATATTTTTTTGTGATGCAGCAATGCCCTTGTTCAGCATACTTTTTTTGGAAACATATTGCAATCTATATTTCATTGTAAAAGTTGATGTCACTACCGTTTGTCATCACGCTGCCCGAAACAGCTACTGAATCTAGGACAATAGAAATTCCGTAACTCTAACCACTAATCCAGGGAGGAGCCCTAGAACGTGGATAATTTCAAATACTGTAATTCGTGGCCCATATTTTGATAAATGTTATACAACATTGGAAACTTTTTTTTTACTTTTTGCAGTTTAATGCAATAATGCAATCATTGCTTCGGTAGATTAAATTATCTAATACTGAGAACTAATTTATTATTCATCAATAATACCTCTTTCAAGTATTTTGCTGATTTTACTCATGAGTACTCATGAAAAAAATAAATTAACCAGTTCACTGTGATTGACGAATATACTGATAAATGAGAAGTGGTAAGTATATTGACGGGTATATTCGTCATGCATATGAAACTTTGATTATTGGCTACTTAAAATGCTAGCTATTTTTGAAAAAAAAAAACAAGAAATACATGTACTCAGAAGGGCTCAATCAAGGGTAAGTGGCTAGAGCGAGTGAGAGATCCTGGATTCGATCTTGCTTCTATGAGCTTGATGTCAAGCAGTAGTGACATCGATTTTCACTTAGAAATATATTTACAAGTGAAAATAGCCCTAATCCGGCTTTGCTGCATCAATAAAATATTCGTCCTATTACAGAAATTTTAATAAAAAAATATTACAAAGAGATGAGAGAACTGCTTGGTTGCCATCTGTAAAATCGACGAAGTTTTAAATCAAATTAGGACTTTTAAGTTCTGATTGTTGTTCAAAACAATAAAAAAAGATATTTAGAATATTTTGCATTATAAACAACATGATAACCTTGATTCAAAAAGTTCAATGAGCGAGCCACAATTAACTGGTTACTAATTAAAACTCGACAGGACCGTAGCAATACATCAATAATATTATTATTTGATGCTTCAAAGAATAATATTCAATTCAATTATTATATTAAATTAAAAAAAATTCAATTAATGATGTTGACAAAACAGACTCATGGTAATAAATAAAAGAATCATTTAAACATTAGTCATTCGAACAAAAAAAAACGTTATTCAGATAAGTTATTATTAATATATATGATAATCTTACTTCTGTAGTTAAAATTTCCCAATAAAGCACAAAATTTACAAGAATCGTTCAAGACCCTTGGACACTCGAAGTCATTCATTCCATCGAACAATATTATCGATAATATATGGGCGATCAATATATTTTTCGTCTTTTAACAGTACAGTCGTCTGTGAGTAATTTATAGTCGTTTACAATTTATTTAACCAGTTGTTTGGTGCTGGCGATAAGTGGACACAATCAACTGTCTTTGTCGTGTTTTACCTTAAGTGAACTTAGCGCTTATTACTAGTGCGACTGTTGTGCGATTCAGGAAATGTTATTTGCATTTAACACAAGATGGAATAAATGAGATAAAGGAATTATTGAACGCGCTCGATTGGAATTTAGTGCCACAACATGGACACACACACATATATGTAATAATAAATATAAATAAAATATTTATTCTGTACGTTTCGACAATCAGTAATTGTCATCAAACCAGTTAATCCACATCATATTCGATAAAGCTCACTAAAACTTACCACCTTAAAATTTTCAATTATTTTTCATTTTGTTTCCATAAATGCTATGTTCTAATTGCCGAGTCTTCAGGGAAAATATTTTTAAAAAAATCTGTTCGCACACACACACACACACATACTTTTTCCAAATTTGGTCTCATTCGATTCAGAATGGCTTGAAACGTCGAGAAAACATTAAATTGGCGAGTCGGATTTTTTTATGAAAACATTAACTTCTTCGGGAAGATAAAAATGTATGGGGCATGATATGAACTTGGCAATGTGTTACAGATTTACATACAAATGCAAGGCACATGAGTTCAAATCAATTTTAAATGTCTATATTTTGTATAATAAGTCAGCAAAGAATTTTTTAAATATAGTTGAAGAACAATATATGCGATTATTTCTTTGAAATTAAATTTTTTAAGGATTTTTGGACCCCCCCCCCCTTGGTGATACGTGGTGATGTTCAAGTTTACCCCCCTCCAAAAATTAAAAAATCAATTTCACAAAATAAATTACCACTTCAAAAATCGCACTAAATTATTATATACTTGATCAATGTATTGAAAGCCTGAGTGTGCTATTATTATTCTTTGTTACAGATTTTAAATTAAGAGTCTTATCAATGAAGTACATTAATGTCAGTGAGAAAAAACACGATTGTTAATTAGAGCCATTAATTAGACAGCAAAATACAAAGCCAATATATCATTAAAATACTGAGAAATTAATTACCGTGATACTTGTTATATACCTATAAAGAAATTATTAATGAAAAGAGTGCCTACTTTAAATGCTGAATTGAATATATTTATCGAAAAAATATAATTTATCGATTAAAAATTTTTAATAAAAATACTATTCGATATTTGGATTAATCTGATATATGAAGTTGTTCCTCTGACTATGAGTTATAATAAACTTGATTAATTATCCCCAAAACCACCTAAAACAGAACACTGATTGCTAATCTGTATTAAGCAGTTATATGCTCATATCTTATTTTATACATTCATTGACATATACAAAGAAATTCGCATAATTTATTTTACCACATATAATGATGCATCCTGAAAGCCCGAAGCTTCAATATATAATATTGTTTCGCACCTTCGAGATAATGCAGACCGAATAAAATGCCGAGAATTATGTTTAAAATAAATTAACAACAGAAATGTAATGATAAACTGCATTTAAATATCGACATGCTCATCTGCATGTGGGTACGAGAATATAACTAAAAGTCTAACAAGGATTGCAAATAAAGAAAACACAACAACGCAAAAATATCTCCGTTAAGATCATTCGAAAAGCCTATAACTTATTAACTAACACATTGCATAGTCAAAGTGATACAAATAAATCAAGAGCTCTCAATAAATAAATTATATTGTTTGACATTTGTAATTAATACGCCATAAGATACAAGACATAAGTCGCGAAATGGTCATGCAATATGATTTAATGTTTTGTCTTGATTACATGCACTTGTGCATTATGATATAATTAAAAACATTTAATAAAACAATAGATTTTTCAATACATCACTCGAAGCAAAATGTTTCAAGTTGTGAGCCTGAGGGGTCACTTTATTTTTTCCATAAGCTTATTTGTGATTTAAAAATGATTGTTTAGCATACGACAATGGCACTCGTCGTGGTTCGAGTTGAAGCATTGTTTTGCTCAGGGAGAAGAGAATGAAAAGAATTTCTAGATCACGAATCATGATACCTAACACAGAGTCGAATGACATAAAAAATACAAGTGTCAATATTTTTTGTGAATATTAAATATGGATGTTTTTTGTAAAGCGTAGTAAAAAATGCTCATTTGTAACTTAGCTCTGTTGACAAAAACATTAACGTCAAATCTTGATGAATATTGCGAAAACGTGAATCGGTAATTTATTCAACAAATTACTAGAAATCTTGAATAACAAGCGTAGTTCATATAATTAATTGTTAAAACATAACAAACAAATCATTTTAAACATAACAATAATATTTTTCCGTTCTAAAAATGCGGGTCTGTCGTCTCGACACAATAGGGGTTAAAATATGTTTAATCCTAACCGATGCGCTTATTGTTTTCCATTCAAAAATAAAAGCACCAAAATGAAAAGAAGAATGAAAGAATTCAAAATAGTAGAATAACAAAAGATGATGGCATGAATACAAAATCATGATTTAATATTTAGATCGTAATAAGGCCGTAATGATCTATGTCATTTTACCTTTGCATTATAACAAATCGGATTCTTTCTAAGAAGCATATGGGCTTCGTATGTTAATAAGTAGGAATTGTGTTTTATATGCATTTATAAATAAGGGTCGAGTTATGATATCAGTTCGCGATCTTAAAAATGCGCACGAGTTATGAAATTGGAATGTCAATGTTTTGTTTTTGTTTCTTAAGATTTATACATAAAAACGTCAAAGTATATTTAACTCATGTTGTGCAATGTAACGAATGGATGCAAACTTTTTTATTGAATTAAGTTCTTTTTTTCAACAAGAAGTTAATGTGTTTTTATTTTGTTACAGCGCGCCATGCCAGTAGTGTGGGGGTAGCCATCCGATGCCGCCCCCGCCGGACCAGACGCCCCCGGGGCCCGAACGAATTTCTCCCCATCCTCCACACACACCCCAACCTCTCCCTATTTCACACTCTTCTCCGTACCCGCCTCATTCTGCTGCATCTTACCTGCAGGCTCAATACACAACGACACCTCCACCGATTCACCGACTCACGCCTCCCAACGCTATCAACAATCCTTTACTCAACCAAAACCGGGCCCCGACGCCATCCAGCGCTTCCCAACCAGGATTCAGTCCACTTCAAGCAGAAAGAATAAGCCCCCAAACGCACCTCATCAACTCTCTAGGCCACAACATCGGTAGCATCAGTCCTCTAAATCAAAACATTGGCCCAGATAGCATTCATTCCGCACGGGATCAGTTACTAATCTCCGGTCAAGGTCAATCAGACAGGATTAGTCCTCAAGGCCAAGAACATCGTTCTACTCCCCCACAAGGGGATAGATCGAATGCACCAACAACGGGAGATTCAGGAAACGGCGCCCCAATGGGGGTTCACTTAGGAGTTTCGAATGCACTGGAGCAAGCGAGAAAACGGAGAAGAAAACGAGAAGATCCGCAAAGTTGTTTTGGATCGACAAATATAGAGTTATCAGAGGATGAATCAGGAGATGATGAGTTGCAGCAGGATAATACGAGAATTCAAGATGGTATGCTTTATAATTCGGATAGTAATCGACAATACCAAACATCGGAAACGACAAGGCGGGATTCAAGTACATTCGAAGATGAAACTGCTTCTAACAACGAAATGAGAGGTGATCAACTCCGACCGGGTGATGTGGAACAATTCGAAGGCAGAATTGTTTATAACCCGGATGGATCTGCTTATATAATTGAAGATTCGGATTTGTCTGAAGACGGTTCCTTACCAGGTTTAAGAGATGGGTGTATTATTGACGGACGGGGTCTGCAAGCGCCGCCTTCGGTACCTAAAGTAGATTCTGCCCATTATTTAGCGGCCCCGGCTCCTGCACCTCATTTAAGCACACCACCTCCAGTTATGCATTCTTTTCGTGTATTAAGTGCAAGGGATGTTCAGCAAGATGATCAAAATAGAACCCCATCAACACCCAATAAACCCATATTAATGTGTTTTGTTTGCAAATTAAGTTTTGGACATGCAAAGGCATTTGCCTCCCATGCGTCACAAGATCATTCATTGGATTTATCGGAAGATGAATTAAAATTATTAGCTAGAGAATCGGCTTCTGCAATTGTGCAAAGGGGAGGCGACTCTCAAAAACTTGTAGTATCCTTCTTAGAACCTTTAGAACCAGCATTGCCACCGCAACAGCCACAACCAGTTCAACAACAAATTCAATTAAGTGTCAAGTCACAACAACAATTACTGCAACAATCATTTATGAATAGAAAAAGTCCAAGCATGTCACCTCCAGGAAATTTATTAAGTCACTTACAACAACAGCAGCATAACTTAAATGCTGCACAAAGTCTCGCAATGCAGAATCTCCAAAACAGTCAAAACCTAATGAGCGGCACTACGATAGGTGCATGTCCAGAACATATTACCACTGGACGACCAATAGGAACCGATTGCCAACGATGTGAAATCATGTTGGGTCGATTAGGTGTATCAACGCCAAATCAAAATCAATCACAGCAAACACCACCACATTCACGAAATTCATGCAAAACGCTAAAATGCCCTAAGTGCAATTGGCATTATAAATATCAAGAAACTTTAGAAATACATATGAAAGAAAAACATCCGGACGGTGAATCTGCGTGTGCATTTTGCTTAGCAGGTCAGCCTCATCCACGTTTGGCACGTGGTGAAACGTATACGTGTGGCTATAAACCTTACAGATGTGAAGTATGCAATTATAGCACAACAACCAAAGGCAACTTATCTATACATATGCAAAGTGATAAACATTTAAATAATATGCAAGAATTACAATCATCAGGTGGACAATCTAACATCACCTCAATGAATCATGAAAACAGAGGAACATCGCCTAAAATTCAACCTCCATCCATGCTTCAACAACCACCACAATCGCAAATTAATTCGAATAAACCAAAACCTACATTTCGTTGTGATGTGTGTTCATATGAAACTGGAGTTGCACGCAACTTGCGGATTCATATGACATCGGAAAAGCACACGCATAACATGGCAGTTTTGCAGCAAAATGTGAAGCATTTGCAAGCATTGAGTGCACTGCATATGCAACAGCAACATCAGCAATTGGCAAATGTTGTAGATCAACAGCAAATCCCAACTGCTGAAGCAGCTCTAGCTGACATGGCTTACAGTCAAGCGCTCATGATTCAATTGATGACTGGCGGAGCAATGCCAAATACGGGGGCAGCTAATATGGCTGTTAATTCCGGCACTTCCGAATTACCTCCACATCTAGATTTGGGTTTGAATCCCGAAGCTATGGAACCACCACCAGAACCTGCGGATCCCGAACCTAGTTTTTTATACTCGTGTTTGGTGTGTGGTTGCTTTCACACAGACAATTTGGAGCAACTGGGTTTGCATCTAGCCCAAGACAGGACAAGATCGAGAGAGCAAGATGTGCTTAGTTTGATAAATGGACATTATGTTTGCAGGCTATGTTCATATAAAACTAACTTAAAAGCGAACTTCCAGTTGCATTGTAAAACTGACAAACACTTGCAAAGATTACAGCATGTAAATCATGTCAGAGAGGGTGGCCCAAGAAATGAATGGAAGCTAAAGTATCCTTCAGCAGGATCTGTACAGCTGCGATGCCACGCATGTGATTATTATACAAACTCAGCGCACAAGTTGCAAATGCATGCTGCTGGCGGCAGGCACGATGCTGCAAGGACGCTCTTCCGATACCTAACAGAATCTGCGTCAAATGCTGTTGCGAAAAGTGAGTTCGGAGGCGGCAAAAGTGATTATTCTATGACGAAAACGTATTTGTGTCGTTTGTGCGGACATCGTGCTGCTAACAAATTGCAACTCCTGCAGCACGTTAGAAGTATGATGCATTTGAGAATGGAGCACCAGCATCAATTGATGAAGAGGGCTGATGGCAGTGACGGCCAAACAGATTTAGCTGATGTATTCCATGTCGTACTGGAGAAGCAAGAACCAATGGGTATGTACCTTTATAAACTATTTAAATAAATTTAATTTTAAAACTCAAATTAAAGTTCAGGTTTAAAAAATAAAGTAATTGTCTGTACTTTAAGTTAGATAATAAGTACTAGTATAGTACTAGTTTGCACTCCAATAGCAATCAAAGTCCATAAAAATATCCGTAATTATAATTTAAATCATTATTACTAATAATAAGTAAAAAAAAAAACATTTAGAATCAATGATTTTTTATATCGTCTTTCAAATTTGATAAATCAATATCATAACCTTGAAAGCTGGAATATTCTCACGGAACGGCGCGACGCCACAATAATTTTTATTGAGTTTTCTTATCGAAACCATTTATTTATTTAAATTTTAATAAAAGCAAATAAAGATAAACCAATAGCCCCCTTGTTATAAAACCGACCCTAAAAAGATTTCCTCACATTTTAAGTGCAAGTTTTCGAATTTAACTAGCTTAAAACAAAGCTAAAATTATAAGATTAATATTATAAAATATTTATTCTTTAAGTGTAATTTCACTATATAAAAATAATTACCTTGTTTCTGGGATTTCATATATCGCAAACAAGAATCTTCACTATATATTCATTTTACAATAAGCACAGAAATAAAATAAAGTCTAAAACACAAGTGCACTATTCACTGTCAAATCAGAAACTGATTTGATTCCCGAATTATTTTCAAATGTCCAAACATAAATACTTTATTCAATACAGTTAGGCACTACACGATTTTAGCACATTTTGACAGTTCGCAAAGATGCTTATTATGGCAATTGTAATTGTTAAAATTTAACCATTAGAATAAAAATTACAATTATTTAATTTTACAAACATTTTTCAAAAAATACCGTAAGGAATTTTTGCAATTATCATGTTTCAAACCATTTACACTATTTATGTTAAACATGAGTCATTGTGTCCTATAATATTTGATATAATATTTAAGTAAATCAAAATCAGCAAGACAGTATTAATCATCGTCATTTACGTAATAAATTGAATTTCTTTTAAAACCATATTTAATTCATTTATAAATGAAATTTATTATCAGTACACAAAAATTATTCATGTAGAAAACTTAAGAAATTAATTATCAAATAATGTTACGAACACATTCTGGTGAGTTTGACTTTGTTTCAATATTATTTTTTATTTGGCGGTAATTTAATGAAGACTAGAATTAATTTTAATATTTCTTTGATTATTTATGTTTCTGTGGATATTTTTTTTGAGAATTATTCATTGTAATTGTTGAATGAGGTGCTTTAGTTATTCTCAACTTTTTAGTATATTGTTTAAAAAAAATATGAATGATCTTTAAATGAAAATATTACTTTGTGAGGTTTATTAAATTATTTTTCATACTGACTAGCGTTTACATTAAAATTATAAAGAATTCACAAACTATGTCAGAAAAGATATGAGAATAATAAGAGTTTCTGCGTGTGAAATATGTAATTCATCTTATTGGAACAATAGTCAAGGAATTGATTTATATGCGTGTGCGTATGTGCGCCGAATTTTATTTTTTCGACTAGTAGGACTGGTAGTGTTGGGCAGGCAGCGCCGATCGGCAAAGCCTTTTCTTTGGAAATAGGAGAAAAGTGTAAAATTTGTTACGATATATTTTATCATAGTCTGAAATAATAAGCGGTTGAATTATAAAAATTATTTAAGGTTTAGAATTTCGTCGCTCGCTTAGGCGATTCTAATCAGAAAACTAGTGGGGTGTATGTCATCGTGCCTTAAGGCAAATTGCTGGAACTTCCTATACCGTAATGAAATGTTCGAGGAATATTAAATGTTTTCAAATAGATTATTATAAATATTGTAACATTGTCTAATATTTATAAGAATTATATAATCTGAATTGCGAAGTTGGAATTATTTCTTTAAAGTATATTAGAACAGAATTAAAATAAAGATCTGAATTATTTTCAATATACAAAAAATTATTTTGAAAAAAAAAAATTTGTCAGTACAAATTGAATGTTTTTTGGACCATTCAAATCGGTTGCTCCGTTCTCCCAAAAACTCAATTTTTATTTTCTGCACTCTTTGCTCTTTATCTCCGTAACTGCTGGACCTGCCTTTGCCAAAAACTAATCAGCACATCTTCCTATCGATAGGAGTCGAATGTTTTTTGAACCATTCAAATCGGTTGATCCGTGCGCCCAAAAACGTGGACGAAAAATTGTATCCATACATACATACACACACACACCCATTTTTTCTGAAGTATGCCAAAAAGTTCAGAAACCATCAAAACGTCGAGATATGTAAAAATGTTCGATTTCGATTTTTGGACGATTACAATAACTTACCCTAGGAGTAAATAAAGTTAAGAATAATCAGAATCTATGTCTTTTGTGCATGTGTAGGTTCCGTGTTTCGTAGGCAGCTAATGATTACAGTTAATGTCCGCACTTAAATAACATACATTTTTTGAACACGAAATGGATTAAATGAAGTGCGTAAGACAGATATTGTAAGAGAAATAAATCGTATTGATTATTTTTTAGTGATAGCGAAAATATTATTTTGGAAATAAACAGTTGAATATTTTATCTGAATAGCTGGACCCTCAATTTTTATTGTATAGTTGATGTATACGTATCGGAAAGTTCGTGCAACTTGCTACTTACAACTAGTTTTAAAGAAAATTATTTATCGCAGCACGATTGCTTCGAAAAACAGTTATAAATTTAAAAAAATCAAAAAATAAAAAAATCAATTTTTTTTAAAAAAGTCAATATTTTTAAACAAACTTCAAAATTTCCAAAATTTAAGTTTTTCAGTTTTCAAAAAAAATTTAAAGCTTTATTGTAAAATTAGATTATCGGTATGGGAAGTACCAGCAATTTGCCTTAAGGCACGATGCCATGCACTAATAAGGTTTAATATATTAATATTAAATAATTCATTTTATTTCTCAAATAAATGATGCTTAATGTGATTCAATTAGTTATCTAAATAAATTTGACGACAGTGTTTATATTATAATCGCAGTGCAAAATATGACAAGGCTTGTCTATTCTTCCCCTTCCTCTACTAAAACACAACATCGTCCCAGCATCGTCGGTAAATGCTTCTACGCCGCTCTAGCGCGTGAGGCGAGTCCGAGCGATTGAAATCCCTACCACAGAAAAACGCCGGTAAACTCGAAATGAACGCACACACCGAAAGCCGATCATAATACACACCTATGCGAGTGTTAATCGTGGAGGGGATGGTAAAGATATTCGCATTTTGTGACCAAAAACGAAATAGTCGAAAATTATTAATTACCAAAGATACGTCAGCAATTACGTTGCTCTCGAATTTACATTTATAATTAGGACTAATTAATTTAAATCGTATATTATTAGTATAGTGTTTTGATTTTAAAATATTTTTATTATGTTTTGAAGAAGATTTCTTGTGTTTTTTGTGATTATGTTTGTGTTTTTTACATATGAGTGTCCTTTTAAGCATATCGCGTTTTGAGTGTGTGAATGTGCTGAAATAAGAACGAATTATTTATGAATTTAACAATGGATACCGCGGACGAGGGTAATTTAGGTTAGTGGTTATGATTATTTTAATTTATTGATATTTAAGGTTCATTTACTCCTTTTTTATTAATATTTCTGATTTGCTGAAGAATGTTTTGATAATGATAGTAAATCTGTCATCCCAGTGAATAAGTTTTTTTTTTTTTTATTATTAACTCTTTTATTTACAACTGTCCAGTAAAGGACATTCAGTAAATTTGATGAATTTACAATAGTCGGCCGAAAAGGGACATTGTATACTACATTGGCATGTTGGAAAAAACAACTCAGTAGTTGTTTTTTCCATTCGATATAAAATTCACAATATTTTATTGATAATTATATAATTTTAACTATGTATTTACTTATTGAATAATTTCTTATAAATAATGATTAAGTTATTTCCATTTTTTATCAGGAGATTTGATGGCTCAAATCCAGTGATTAAATTAATTTTCACAATTTTGAAAAAATCAGTTCAAAGTTAGATTACTTCATTTCAATGCAATAACTATTTTCAGAGAATATAACTTTTCAGAGAGTGAAATTTAACCAATAATTCACTTGTATCACAATAACTTACTTTTCACTTTAACATGCCGCCAGGTAAATTTTATTAAATTTTTTGTTATTTTTTTTATCAATGACGAGCAACCCGCGGTCCGCGGTCTTTGTGCGATCCTTTAATGTTTTTCTGCTGCCCGCCAAGCATTTCTAAAATTGTATTTAATTTTTTTTCGTCAATTTTCTTCCACCAATAAATTGATTATAATGTATACTTTTCCTGTTACATGAAACATTGAATTTAGTATTTTTATGTTATAATGTTTATTAGTATACCTTTGTGAATTATTAATATAAAAATTTTAAAGTTTAAATGAGGCCCTTGAGTTGAAAAAGTTGTTCATCCTTAACTGAAATTAATAAAACACTATTCAAAATTAAATCATAGATAAATCCCGATTTTATAGTGTGAATTATTTGTTTTTTTTTTTGTTATTCTAAGTGCATTGCACATAAATAAATATTCGAACTAGATTTTTGTAAAAAAAAAATATCACCTTAACACGTGTTATTTTTTATGATTTTATTAACACGTTAATTGCCATGTCAGTCATAAAAAATAGTGTTTTCCAGGAATTTTAGAAAAAATCAATTTTGCTTTTGATACATTAAGTTTCCTTGATACATTTTTAACTAAATTATCTAACAAGTTGCCATGACCCAAGTAAAATTGTTCTGATATTATCGTGGCGATTAACGTGTTAAAGGACTGAACTATTTGCTCTTTTTTTTTATTAGAGCATTGTACATAAATTAGAGTTCGAACTAATTTTATGTAAAAAATATAATCCTAGATGTCTAACCTTAACACGTGTTGTTTTTTTCATTAATTATTATCAAAGTTGATGAAAATATTCAAAGTTCAATATATTATTTTACTATCAATGTTCATA